ACCTGTATATCAATTTTAGATGCTCTCAATCGCATTAAATTACAAAATGTTGTTTACGATTAAAAAATTTTATGTATAAGGAAACTAAGAAAGAGTAAAATTTCCAATTAATCAATTCAAATTATCCACAAGAAATGTATGCACACGTTTAGTTATATTTTATGTAAATAATAAAAGCTGCTGTGCTTTCACGATAACTCGTGTACCACCCTATAACAACATACAAAGCTTGCTGTTATTTACAACGATTCCATTCATTTTACAGTACGTAATCGTGGCATAATCTCGTAATTAATATTTACATCTGGATTCCAGGAGCTCCTGAGAGTTGTGACATATATCGTTCGTATCGAGTGACTTAATTGCTGTAGAGTGTGTAATACTTAAATTAATTTCAAAAATTCGATTGTGTCATTGAGCGGACGTTGAATTTTCTCACGTCAATGTAAATAGGTACAGATACGAATTCCGAGTTCAATTGGGTCGGTATCCATAGTCAGTTCTTATATTCAAGACCGTCTTCAAGTTATCTTTAGACACCTCACAACCAATGAAATGTTCCGTACATCGTTAAATAAATTCAAGACTGTCTTGAATAGAAGTTCCGACTATAAATATCGGGCCTTCATGTTTCAAACAACGCGCCATTTTTTCTCTGTAAGCTCGTAAAGCTTGACATGCGCAGTATAAGGACGCACTCGCAGACGCTTCTCTGAACCGCGAATTTCAAATTGCTGTCGAATTACATTTGTTGACAGTGTAACAAAAAGATGCAGGTGTGTGATTTAGTTTTGAGGGTTTCGCGAGAGATGGCACCGTCAGTTTTTTTCGGAGATATTTCAATCGCAGCTATTGACAGTTAAAGTTTTAATATTAATTCATGATATTTGATCAGGGGAACCTGCGATGTTCCAGACATCGTCAGGTGTGTAAGACGGAGAAGACGTAAATGGACCGATCACGTGTCCAGAATGAGGGAAGAGAGAATAGCAAGAACAGCAAGAGATGAGAAACCGACAGCCAGAAGATCCCCAGGAAGACTCCCAAAGAGATGGATGATCCAATCGGAAAAAAACAGGCTTCAGCCTAATTTAAGAGGAAGGCGAAAAAGATATTTGGTCATTTAATAACAATAGACGTAGTAAAAATTGCGTTTGTACCATTTCTAAATTGCAACTTTCTAAACAGCATTCTTGACATGCGTTGCTTTCGGTTTTTCATCAGAAGGCTATAGAATTTCGATAGAAACTTATAGCGATTGTTGCTCCATCAATGTGAATATTAGTTTAGACGATTTAAAAGTGGTGTGATTTTAACGACAAAGATCACTTGGGGCAACCAAACAAGCTTGAAAGTGCAGATGTGCAAGCATTATTGGATGAAAATCAACACAGTCCACCTCAGAACTTGCGAGAGGATTAAATGTTGATCGTACAACAGTTACCAATTGCACAAACGTCGGTTAACTGTTAACCAGAGTTCAGTCGACTCCCTACCTTTTTCCGTCTTATTATCCAAGAAGAGGCAGAGGATCAATTAACCTTTGGCTAGCAGTTAACCAACGTTTGTGAAACTGGCCCTAAACGCTTACACGATATGAGAGAGATTCACAGAGAAGGAAAATGGGTTTCACATCAATTATCGGAAAACTCTCGCGTTGCGTTATCAATGAAACTATTAGAGCTGCAAGTCTTACCGCACCCCGCGCGTTCTCCAGACATTGCTCCGTCCAATTATCATTTGTTCCCGTCGACGCAACATGCTCTAGAGGATACGCACTTCCATAATGTCGAAGAAGTTGGAAAATTTGTTAAAAATCGGATCAACACCGAAGAAGAATCTTTTTATCGTCGCGAAATCCACCTCTTGCCAGAGAGACGGGAAAAAGTCGTAGAAAACGAAGGAAAATATTTTAACTAAGGTATTTGTTCATTATCTTGTTTAAATAAAAAAGGTTTTGAGAAAAAAACCTTTAAAACTAAATCACGCTCCTAAGTAATGCGTCGCAAAAATATTTCAGTTGTTTTTTCGATGAGAAAATCACTAATTTCTTATTATCGGTATAAATCTTTTTATACACGTACGTAAATTATTTTATGAATGTAAAACGTAGCTTAGCGGTCGCACTTGGCTGCGTGTAACTCTACGTAGGAATGTAACGTTTTACGTTATAAAACTCAAAACATTCACTGTGATTTAGTCTTAGTCGATAGTAGAAATAACGCCAAGAGGATCAGATATCTTTCTCATCTGGAATTTCGTCCTGATACGTGTCGGGAATACCGTAACTTCATTTGCAAAGACACCCACATATATAAAAACGTCGACAACTACTCACACTCTTATTTTATACGCGCTCGAGGGGACTTAATATATACAAAACCGTCTTCGTCAATTCTTACAATTAGTACAGCGATAATATTATGGAAATGTCCACACGATCGTAATATTATTTACAATATATGCAAGAGATTAATCCTCGGAAATTTACAAGTCCCGGTTGCTTCGTTGCATTTCATGCACCGTTTTCGAGTCACTCTTCGAGTTTCGCACACGTCACACTAATTTCTACGCTTACACGCTAATTTATACACTTAGCTTAATAAATCGATTAACCCTCTGCACCGGCAATCACATTCGAACAGAGATATGACTGGAACAAATGGCACATACGAGAAAAAAATGATCGATTAGAGGACGTTTCGTAATTTTTAAATTGCCAGTGCATCGCAATAAACGTTAACATACTGATTGCTGCGTCAGTCACAAATCACCCACACGAGAAACGTTGGAGTTTCATCCATGATTCACAAGCTATCAATCGATTTGCGTTTTATATTTTACCTGTGGCAAACGTTTTGATCCGTGATTAAAATAAAAGGGGGCTGAATTTTCCTCGGCTAGCATCTTATTATTATTCCAGGGAGTATGGAAAAGTGCAAAGGGTCAGCGATTTTCTCTGTACAAATTAAAATTGAACAAAACGTCAGCTGCACGAAAACAATTCTCAAGATGTGGCTTCCACGTACGCTCGAATATTGAGATTCTGTGCAAAATCGGTGTAAATATTGGTAAATGATCGTGTAACATTTTAATATCTCAAATTATCATTGAACATTTAAAACGTCTTAATAGAAATATTCATATGCGTTCACGCAAATCACTTACGACGACAGTTTCAATTGAATAGGCCGAATTTTGTCCAAATCTGAAAACGGTATCGATAAACGATGGGACGTGGTGCGAATGTGACTAGTGTAATATTTAATATATATTTTACAAAAAATGTTCCGTGTCTGTTTCACGTGTGATGCAATATTTCTTTTATCGTCACTGTAGAGATTGCGCTAATCCGTGGAGCGAAATCGCGACACATATTCTGACACGTGTAAACGAAACAAAACAAAACGTGACACGAGATATCTCTAAATTAGAAGAAAAAAAAACACTGCCACAATCGATCTTCCAGCAATATAATTATGGTACGGATGTGAGTATCAAATCTTTCCGATAAGCTGCCCGCACACGAAAAGAAAAATCAGCCGACCCCTTTGACGGAAATTGGGAGATCTCGTTTCGCTAACGATGCGCGCGATTTGAAAGCCTCTCCGCCGATAGAAGAAAGATTGGAGAGAAGGATTTAGCGGTGACGGTGGAATCAGATAAGGAAAATGGTCGTCACGCCGTCGTCATCCCTGGGATACGTTCGAAGGCTTCGAAAATCCGCTGACACGTCGGAGAGATTCGGAATGATCATCATCGATAACGTTCTCTGTGAAAGGCAGGGAGGTCTCTGATAGAAATTAAAGGTAAACACGATTCGCGTTTGACTTGAACGAATCGAACAATGTTTACATTGGTGCGACGCAGACGTTAACACGTTGACTGTCACCGTACAATCGAATAAACCTATGCCTAATGCCATTTTTATATCAGCATATTATTTTAATATGCTGTCCGTGATTGTATTAATTTTTTTTAAATCAAAATTCACAATCAAACTCTTACTTCTCTTTCTAAAGCATCAACCTGGCGAATAGCTGATGGCAGTCAATATGTTAAGTCAGCGATTCTCAACCTTTCCCATATTATGGCACGCATAAACAATTGGGTGGTTGCATCTGAAACCGCCCGTTGGCAATAGATGGCGTTAGATACACGATTTCTTCGAATTGAAAGCTAGCAATGCACACGTTGACAAGTTCCGCTTGGGACGTTGAGTGAACAACACGTCTTCTAACCTGGAAGAGAAATTTTTTATCCTCGGGGTTGCATCATCCGATTGCATCATCCCGCGCGAGGCCCGATAGTTGGGTCTCTGCGTTGTATTAATAAATTAAAACTTGCTCATACACTTATTAACCATTTGTTAGACGTGGCCGTATTGGATCCGGACGGAGCCAGGAGCCAATAAGCTCGTCAATAAGACAATAATACACACGATGACAGGATTATAGAGTCCCGACAACACGCCATAGGTGACACTTGGGGATGTTGGAGTGATTCTGCACTTTTGCACCTTTCTAACCTAGAAACTGTCAGTTCGCGGAAACACTTGTGTAATATACAAATTAAATGGCTTACGTGTACAGATCGAAAGCAGCTCGCTATTCCGGCCAAATGAAAGAACAATATGGCATCACTGAAACTAAGTTTGTAAGTCTAATAAGAAATAATAGTGAGCAACACACACACATACCCAGTCAGAAATGACTCGAAAACCGACGTCGAAACGATATCGAATCGACGTCGGTTTTCGGGTCATTTCTGACTGGGTACAGTACATGTGGTATGTGTGTTGCTCACTATTAATTGTTATTAGACTTACAAACTTAGTTTTAGTGATGCCATATTGTTCTTTAATTTGGCCGGAAAGCAAGCTGCTTTCGATCTGTACACGTGAGCCATTTAATTTGTATATTACACAAATGTTTTTACGAAACAGACAGTTTTAAGTGCAAAAGGTGCAAAAGGTGCAAAAGTGTAGAATCACTCCAGCATCCCCTATGTTTACGGAGGCAAGTTTTGTCCCAAATAAGTCACATTTGCGGCAAGTTGTGCTTCATTATTTCCTGGCAAAGAAGTCGCCCGCGGAAACGTATCGTTTGCTAGAGGAAGCGTATGCCGAACACGCTCTATTGAGTAAACGTGCAAAGAGTGGTTTCGCCGCTTCGCTGAGGACACCCTCGGAAACCATCACTGGAGATCGTTATCGACTGCAACTGATCCGTTTGAAGCGAGCTCTGCACGAGAAAGGGCCGAAACGGAACAATTGCCGCGAAAAGTTGATTTTACAGCGCGACAACGCCGGGCCGCGTGTTGCTCAACCAGTCAAGAAGTACTTAGAAGGAGTGAACTGGGAAATCCTACCCCACCCGCCGTATTCCCCAGACATCGCTCCCTCTGATTTCCATTTGTTCCGGTCGATGCAGTCAGCGCTTACGGCACAGCACTTCACCTCGTACGAAAGAGTAAAAAAAAATGGCCGGATGATTGGATTGTTTCCAAAGAACCCGAGTTCTTCCTGCGTGGAATCCGATTGTTGCCCGAAAGATGAGCCAAGGTTGTCTGTTCCGATGGGCAATACTTTGAAGAAACCGATTCGCCGATTTGCTATCAAATCACTGTCTTTTCTTTCGCTCAAGAATAGACGGTTTTATATGCAACCACCCAATATAGTTTTCGTCGATCTAACAAAAAAAAATAGGTATAATTTTGATTGCAGACTTCAGTCTCGGTTTAAATTACTTGTCCTTTTTCTAACTTGTAAAACCAGAAAAAGATATAAAGCTGAACCGAGATTAAAGTTAAACTGAGTTAGATAAAGTTAGGTGTTACACGTTTAAAAAATTCTCACGGCACACCTGTGGATCTGTCGCGGCACAGTGGTTGAAAATCGCTGCGTTAAATACATTATTGCTCGAATTGCGTTTACTATTTTTGGTCAGTAACTGACGCTCGCAAGTAAACTTAACATTGGAACTGCCGAAGCAGCCCAAACAACTGGTTTGTAATTTTCTATCAAATTTATTAACGGTGCACTTTCTGACATTTTCCGTGACTCTCGTAAATAATTTATTTATTTTTTCCCCCCTTTCGTCTCTTTTTGCAAAGATATATATATGTACAAAGTGAGCCATCGAAAACTTTTCTATTTCTTTTGTAACCTACTGATTTGTGTGAGTATGTCGAAACACGTCAATTTCGTTTCTAAGAGGACTGCGCCTACAGTTATGATAAATTCAGCTCTTTGCCATCCTCGCACCGTAGTATGAAAAAGACTGAATGACAGGGAAAAGAAGGGCTGGCACAATTGATTATAACGATCTAATACGAATAACATGGCGCCCGTCTAACGAGGGTAAAATAAAAGTTCATAATAAAAATTCCACTATGACAATCGTCTTTCCCGCTTGGCCGTCAATAGTCGCGGATCCTTCGGTGAATCCGCACTATTCGTCCTTAATTCGTCGATTAATTGATCCCTTGCGCGGTTGAGGAAAGACTGCAGCATTTATGCTGCAGCTCGAAGGAGATATCGACTCAATCATCCTCGCTCCGCGATGACTACGACAGGGCGGAGAGCACGATTATGCAAATCGCCGCGCTGGATCGCGTCACGCAATACCACGTGCTGCTTTTAGACGACATCGACTGCGCCGTATTGTCGACTCTTCGCTGCCCGACGTCACTGTCGACGCTTTTGTGGCTGTCAGTGTCGATGACGTTCTCGGCCTCGTGGCTCTCCTCGTGGCTCGGTCTGCCGCGCAGTCGCGTTTCTGAAAAGAATCAATGATACACATTAGTGACGGTCAAATTATGATGAATTGGGGGAGCCAGAACCTTAACCGAGGGTTAGAGTCATTATATTCCATTTAACCCTTTGAAACATGTATTTTTCTTTATTCACGAGTCTCTTGAAATTTGATATACAAGCAGTTCTGGAGTTCGCCGGTTACGAATAAAATCATATAGAATTGGATAGTGTAAATGTTGAAAATTTTAAGTGGCAGATCCGACCGAGGCACTGCAAAATTTTGTATTACAGATTCGTAATCGGCGATTCGAAATACTACTACACGCAGAGAATTTTCTCTTAAAATTTATTCTGAAAATCGCGGGACAATTACGTGGCATTGTGGAGAATTTTATTAGAGTTTTTTTAGATTTTATCACACATTTTATCATACAAAACTCATAAAGTTCTTCAAAATGCCACGTTGTCCCACGATTGCATGATTTTCTGGATAAATTTTGAAAGAAAATTCTTTTTCCGTGTACAGGTACAAAGTTTCAAGGGATTCTAAGTAAAAGCAGTGTCTTTTAATATTCAAAAGGAGTATCAAATTTGAAACGGGTTAAAAAAAAGAAATGCACATCGAATGGTGAAGGTTTTAGGAATGCAATTAACAATTTTCATTTCTTTTCAATTTAGAAAACACGTTTAAAGTCTATGCAAATGAACGCAAAATACATGGCACGCGTGCACGAGAATTAATATAAATTTAAATTATTGGCAGGCAGGAATCGACCCGCGGGTCGCCATTCGGCCGTCAATGATATACATTATCAGCGGGTTCAATAATATATGTATACATATACATATTACGCGACATTCCGCCACGCCATCAAACGGTGGGTCGAGACGTCCGTTCGCGCCGCGTGGAATATTCAAAAACGCATGTCGCGAGCGAGAGAAAAGACTGGAGAGCTCGGGGAAAAATTTATAGCTTTCCCTATCTCCCGGTGCAACGCAGGAGGCAGCGAATCCTTCCAATATTCTCGTTGCATATTACGTATTCTTTCTGGGCCCGCGGCAGAAGTCGACATTAGCGCAGCCATTCGCGTTACCTTTCAGCGCCAGCAACGCGACCTCTCATTGTCCGCTCGCCGTCGAGGATCGTAAATCAAATCGCGTCCAACTCGCCGCTTCCTGAATTGCCGCGACTTCGCTCATACCCGCCAGTTTACATGATAATCGAAACAAGTTCCGGATACCGACGCTGGCGCGTCCCGGGTGCAGATTACTTGCCATAGTTGGGCCGAGCACGGTAGTTCATAAACCGCATGGGATTTCATCAAAATCCCGTCGAGAGTTCCACGTTTGTCGTGGCGGAGAACCGGCAGTAGGAAGAGGCTCCGGGTACCGGGGGGGGGGGGGGGGAGAGCGGGCGCGCGGAGGAACTTGGAGGCGGCGTGGCACGTTGCTGGAAGTTTTGCGGAATAAACTTCGCGCCTTCCGCGAAACTTTCCGCAGCAAAGTTCCGCCACTGCCCGGCGGCGTGTAAGTTCTCGCATTACGTCGAGGGCGATGATTTAAGACGACGTATCCCGGCGAATTTCGGGCCGCGGCGACGCGTATTTGCGGAGGGTGACGTGTTTTCAAGCGCTCCTCCCCGCCGATCGCATAGATCAACATTTTATTGCCTGAATTACGAATGTCTGGCCGTATGTGCGGCAAGAGCGGGACACAATAAATCCGATACACGAGGAGATTCCATCTTCTTGGCGCGGAGAGAAATTTAAATTTTGTAAACACGGAGGCAACCCCCCCCCCCCCCCACTCCCGACCTATCGTGGTAAAAGCAAAATATTATCCCTGTACGTATGGTATACACTGAGAAAAAAATGTTTCTTGACTCAACTGTTATATGCTGCGGTCACTGGCTGCCAAGTAAACTTTTGTTAATCCAAAATGATGTGTGTTCGGTGATGTATATTTAACTTAAACACGTATGTTTAAGCTAAAGAAATATTGCCAATTAAACATATTTAGCGGGTTTTGTGAGAACCGGTAAGTTCGACTAATCGGTTACCCGCGGTTACAAACGAGTGCATCGGTTAAAATCGATGAAATGGTTAATTGCTTATATTAATTAATATTAAAAAACCAGTTAACCATTTAATTGTTCATACCTTTATTTTGTTGTCCAAAAGTTCCTTTTAAACGATTAATTGCCACTTTTGTTATCTAACAGATTTTGCAATGGAGTAAAAAGAATAACAAAATTACCTAACAAATAATTCTGTTTTTGTATTTCACACGCAAATGATTCTAAAATTGAACTTTTAATGGACTTTTGCGCGGAATTATGAAATAAATTTTATCAGTGTTGCGCTTTCTATAGCTTGTTGTTAGAGGAAAAATGAATATAAAGAAGGAAAAATATAAAAAATAAAATCAAAAGTGTTATTTGTTATATAAAAAAAACCTATAATTATTAAATACTGTATTGCGTGTATACAGGGTGCTACGCAAGACTTTGACGTCCGGTCATGGGAAGGTAGAGGGGACTAAGACAAACAGAAAAGTATTGTACTATTTTGCGCTTGGACGAATAGTTATCGAGATACGAAAT